TCTACGCTCCTCTGCGACACTCACGACCAAGATTCTATACACTCCCTCTCTCTTGCCCCATCCCACGCGCGCCCGCCCGTCAGGCGCTCGCCCCCTTGCTGCCGCCTCTGCGTCTCCCGGTGTCAGGCCTCGTTCTCGCCTCTCTCAACTCGCTCAACTCTCCTCTCTGCGCCTTCCGCCTCCGCCGCTGCCGCTGGCTGCTCCTTACCCGTCCTCTCTTCGCGCTTCCTCTTTGTTCTTCTTCGCCCCTCTCCGCACTGTATGAATTCTCTCTCTGGTTACTTACCGAGGGTATTATCTGTTGCTCCTGCCTGGATCTTTTCACTGGACTAGCACAAACCGAGGCTGGAGCTGGTGAATTTGTTGTTGTTCTTATTATATCCATAGCGCTCAACTATTGTGTCACTTATATGCTACCAGCACCTGTTTTTAAAAAGCTTTAGCCCTGCATAATCTATTCTAAACCTGCTCAAGCACACCCCAACTGCACGCGGGCCACCATCAGTTAACCCTTGTTAGACACCAGAGGCACAACTGCAGGCCCTCAAGAATCTTTAAAACCCTGTTTCAGCCCACGACCTCCATAACTGACTCACACAACTCGACGACAGCGTGCGAGCTCCGACATCACTTCTACAGTCCTGACCTCCAGACGGCTGCCCATCTTTCCTGCAAAATAAATAAATACCCGAATACCAAATACACACTAATAAGTGGCTTTTCTAGGTCGCTCTCGCCGCTTCTTCAAACACGTAATCACAGGGCTATTTACGTTGCTCCAAAAGCAACTTACCTATAGTGGTTTTTTTTTGTTATCCTCTGAGTCTTACTCTAACAGGCCTCGTCACGTTCATCCTTTTTTCATCCCACCTGCCTCCCTTACCCACACGCTCTCATCTTGTCCCTCGCTCCTCCCTCCCATATTCAGGACTGCTAGTTTGTCTTCTTTGATGCATCTCTTCTGTCTCTCTTCTCCTCTCTTCTCTTGGCTCTTCTCGCTTCACCCGCCCCTTCCTCCCTCTCTCCCATAAGACTATTTTCTCTGTGGTCGATATGTATATTCTCTTCTTTTTTTTTTTTTCTTTTTTTTTTTTTTTGAGACGAGTCTAGCCTGTCCCCCCCAGACCCGCTGGAGTGCGTGGCCCGATCTCGAGCTCACTGAAGCTCCGCCTCCGGGTTCCTCCCCAGCATTCTCCTGCTCAGCTCCCCGAGTAGTCTGGGACTACAGGCGCGCAGCTCGCCCGGTAGTTTTTATTTGTATTTTTTTAGTAGAGACCGGGTTTCACCAAGGTGTACCAAGGCATGGCTGCTCGATTCCTGCCTCGTGATCCGCCCGTTCTTCCTCCCAATCAGTGCTGCGGCTTACACCGGCGTGAGCCACCGCGCTGCCGGCGGTGTATGTATATTCTACTGCTCAAAGTAGAGCCATAATGTCTGCTCATTCTACTTTCAGTGATTCTAACAGATTAATTAGGACTGAACAGCCTAATCTTCCATATCAATAGGTGTCCGGACCTGCCAATTATCCCTGTTTACGTAATAGGCTTTGCGCACAGAACAAGCGCATATCCAGCACTGATAATAAAAACATAATACAGGATGGGTACAATGGCTCCTCGCTGTAACCCCCAGCCTTTGGGAGGCTAGGCATGGCTACCCTGAGGCTGGGAAGCTTTGAGACCTGCCCATGGGCTGAAATCCCATCTCTCACTCACTTCAAAAAAATTAGCCATGGCGTGGTTGTGGATGCCCTGTATCCAGCTACTCGGGAGGCCTGAGGGGAATCCCTTGAACCTGGAGGTCGGAGGTTGCCAGTGGCCTAGATTGCACCATTTATTCCCAGCTGGGCAACAAGAAAAACTCCTCTCAAAACAAACCGACATCCACACAATCCACCATACACAGTGACCCTTTCGACAAAGGAAATAGTGGTTCCCCCTCACGTCGTTCTCCCCAGCAGCTCTCTTCTTCCTCTCCTAACATGTTTTTTCTCGCTCTCGTCCTTCACGCGTCAAAGGTAAGAATTCCAAGTCTAGCCAATGCTCTTCCCGATTCTTCTCTCTACACAACGCCGCGCGCGCGCGCCTGTCGCTCTCGCTGCTTCTGGCACCTCTCTCTCTCTTCTCTCTCTTCTTCGCTTCTCTTCTCCTCTCTCTCGCTCCGGATAAGATGAGCCTGCTGCTCGCTCTCCCTCTCTCTCTCTCTCTCTCTTCGCCCTCTCTCTCTCCTCTCTCCGCCCGCGGTCACTTTTTACTGCGCTCTCTCTCTCGCTCTCCTCGCTCTCTCCGCGTCCCTTCTCTCTTGCCATGGCGAGCTCTTCGCTCTCTCTCTTGCCCAGCCCTGGCCCGCGGTGCTACTCTACGCTCTGCTTCCGCCTCCCTCTCTTCTTGTCGCTCTCCGCTTCCCGCCTTCCCCTGGCTCAACTTTTCTGTCCACCTCTTCTCCCTCCTGGGATTCCCTGTTGGTCCAGCCAGGTCTCTCCGACCTCCGGTGAACCAACTCGCCTTCCCTCCTCTCGCACCTCCTCTCTCCTCCAGCTGTCTACCGCCCCCGTTTTATTTATTCAGCTGGATATCGCCCGTAGGGGGGGGTCCGTTCTGTGCCAAGCTTATTATAAACGTGACTCCCTTTTGCCACGCTCTCCCGCCCCCCTTTATCCCCATGCATTCGCGCCCTTTCCGTCCTCTCTCACTCTTCCCCTCGCTGGCCTCGCGCCCACATTATGGTCGACCTTCTTAACTTTGCTCGCCCGCTCTCTCACCCGCGGGCCCCGCTCCGGTCTCCTCTGCGGGCCGGGCGGCTCTGGTCAGGGCTCGACCTCCCTCGCCTCATCCGCCTCCGCACCCCCGTCTCTACTAACCCACCTCCGCCTCGGCCGCTCTCCGCTCGCCGGCTCGCCGCCTGCCGGGCCGGCCCGCTCCACTGCCGCTCGCACTCCTCGGCTCGCTCCGCTCGGCGCGCCGCGCTCCGCCTCCGTCTCAAAAAAAAAAAAAAAAAGAAGAATATACATATCACCACAGAGAAAATAGTCTTATCTAAATAGGTTCAACTGGCTTCAGTCTTAATCTAACTTTGAGTTTACAAGAAATACAGAAGATAGAGGGACAAATTAAATGATGCATCAAAGAAACAACTAGCCATGTCCTGAATATGGGATATTCCACAGGACAAATGATACTGTTTTGCTAGAGGAGCAGTGGGATGAAAAAAGGGAAGAGGCCTGTTATGAGTAAGACTCAAGAGGATAACAAAAAAACCACTATAGTAAGTTCTTTGTGAGCAACGTAAATAGCCCTGTGAAGCAGCATGGAGCACCTAAAAAAGCCTTATAGTTGTTATTTTATTTATTTATTTATTTTGCAGGAAATGGGGCAGCCTTGAGGTCAGACTTAGAATTATGTCCTAGCTCCACTGCTTTCTCATTGTGTGATCTAGTTATGGGATCTCTGAACAGGTTTTTAAAATTCTTTGAGCCTCATTTTCCTCGTTTCTAACAAGGGTAATGATGGTGGCCCCCTCATTGGGTTGCTTTGAGCATTAAATAGGATTATGCATGCTAAAGCCTTTAAAACAGTGCTTGGTACATATAAGTACACAATATGTTTTAGCTATGATATAATAAGAACAACAACAAATTCACCAGCTCTCAGCCTTCGGTTTTGTGCTTGTCTCAG